TGTGTTAGCTGCAGGCGTAGTTGTTCCATGTGTGTTGGTAGTTGTTGTTCCATCTGTGTTGCTAGTGGTTGTGTATGTGCGCTTTAGTTGCAGGCGTAGTTGTGTCTGTGTTGGTAGTGGTCGTGTCTGTGTTGGTAGTGGTTGTGCATGTGGGTTAGCTGCCGACGTAGTTGTGTATGTGTGTTGGTAATGGTTGTGGTTATGTATGTGTTTTGCTATTGTTTGTGTATGTGTATTGGTTGTGATTGTGTGTGTGTGTTGTTAGTGGGTGTATATGAGTGTTTGTTTCAGGTGTAGTTGTGTATGTGTGTTGGCGAGGCTTAAATATGAGTGTTTGTTGCAGGCGTAGTTGTGTATGTGTGAGGGTGGGTTGTGCCTGTATATGTGCAACAGTTGTAGTAGTCGATTTGGGTGTGAATGTGTGCCATTGCAAAGTGCGCGGATTTGCCTGTACTTGAATATCAAAGTATGTAATCGCTGGTTTGTACTTGTGTTGAACTTGAGTTCGTAAACGGTTTATACTTGTATTAAACTTGAGTTTATAAACGCTGGTGTATACTTGTGTTCCACTTGAGTTCGTAAACGCTGATATATACCTGTGTGAACTTGAGTTTGCATGGTTTTAATGCTCGAATCTGCCGATTCATTCAGATTCATGCGCTGTTCTGTAATACATGATAGGTCCGTTGGTAGAAGTACACGCCTGATTTGCACCTCCTAACCAACCCCGTCCCACTGCCTGACCACCCGCTCTATCCCACCAGTCACCCGTGCCCCGTCCATCCGCCGCACCCACGGCTGACCATGAAGTAACACACAAGGACAGCACACACAGGCACACAGACGCAGTTGATCATGCGCAAGTGTCGAGTATGGGCCATACAGACGCCTCGCAATCGCCCCCGCCAAAGTCACCCGAGGGCTCTCCAGTGCACAAGAAGAGTTCGAGAGCGAAAACTAAAGGTGTGTGATACGCAGACTACTGGATAGTATGTGAAGTTTTTAATTCCCTGGGTCGTGATACTTCATCGAATGGACAGTCCTATATGATATGTACTGTAAGGTAATCATTCGATTGGATCTATTCAGTGGTTACGCCACATACCATGGCACTACCGGATAGGTTGGGGGTTGAATGTGTGCCTCTTGCAGTATTGCAAGTCATGTACTTATGGAACTACGAAAATCGGATTCATCTATCATGTGAAAGAATTGACTTCGTCTATCGTTGCTGATGTGTGTTTTGATCCGTTTGCCGTAGAAGCTAAAGCATCCACCAGTTCGAAGACCAAATCCAAAGCTAAGGGCAAGACAACGAAGGCCCTTCAACGCAACGAAAGGGCCGAATATGCCCCAAAAGAGAGGGCTATGTCTGAACCATTGGTAGACGATCACGACAACGCTTACACTGACGAAAGAGACATGATTGCTAGAGAGAACGGCGAGGATACCGATTACAGACACACAGAAGGTGGGTTAGGATAGCCTGTGCTTCTAAAGCTCGAGTCGTTTCCCGTGGGTAGGTACAAAGTGTACACGCTACATCTTGTTAAATTATAAACCCCGCACTATAAACCCACACAAAAACGCCACAGATATGGAGGGAGACGAGGATGACGCCGCTGGTGAGGATGATGAATATATGGCCATGCTAGCCGCACGCACTACAAAACCCAAAAAGGTCAAAACCAGCCCTAAATCTAAGAAAAAAGACAAGAGCAGCACCAAAACCACAAAACGGGACATGGCGGCGGCAAAGGCTGAGGCCAAAGAGAAGAAGAAGAAACGCAAGTCCACCGGGTCTATCCCCGATAAGGTTGGTTCATAGGGCTATGATGCATATAATCAGGTTTTAGGGTTCATGTTTGTTGTGTGCGCCCCACAGAAGTAATTCCACCTCGCATACCTGTCCAGCTGACTGGCGTGTGCAGGTGTGTGTGTGTGTCTGCTTGTGTGTATGTGTATATGTATGTACGTGCGTGTGTGCGTGTATGTGTATATGTGCATATGTACGTGTGTATGTGCGTGTATTTCCGCTTGTGTGCATGTGTACATGCATGCATGTGTGTGTGTATGTCTGCGCATATGCATGTGTATACGTACACGTACGTATGCATGTGTGTGCATGCATGTGTGTGCATGTTCGTGTGTTTTTGCATTCGTATTGCTATAAGCGAGAACTTCAGCTGAACGTTTGTACCAATATATTCTTGCTATTCCTGTGGTGCCTCCGGCATTCTTCCGCTACTACTGCGCTGCACATACCCATGTCTATTCAATTTGGTCATATGAGGCTAACTTGATAATATATATATATATATATATATATATACTATATATATAATATATATATATATATATAATATATATATTATTATATTATATATATATGTATATATTAAAAAATATATTTATGTATGTATGTAGGTATGTATGTACGTACGTATGTATGTACGTATGTATGTATGTATGTGTGTGTGTGTGTATGTAAATATATATATATATATATACGCACACACATCCGCACACCCACACACACGCGCGCGCATGCGGCCATGGAAATTCATATACGCACATTTACTGATACACACAAACCCTGTCATAATCTTTCAAGTATATACATACCTATGCACTTCTCGCAGGGAAGGGTGAGATAGAGGCTCTCCGGCGCCAAATCGACGCCCTTAAAGCTGAGAATGAGAAACGCGAGCAGGAAGCACGGCAAAGTGCAGTGGAGTGCGAGAAACGTGAACAAGAGACTCTGCGCACGCAGAATCAGTTGCTAGTGGCAACCAGGAAAATGGAGGCTATCAGTGCCGGTCGACGCACGTGCGCAGTGGGGTGGGCCGTGGTGACTGCGATAGTCGTGGCGGTTGTGGCTGTTTTGTTTATGATGCTGATTGCACCACCCTCTCTGTTGCATGGGCCGGTTGCGGTGGTGGCCGATAGCTTGGTGGAGAAAGTCAAGGTGTGCTGTGTGTTGTGTGTTGTAATGTGTAGTGTGTTGTGGTCTGTGTGGCTGTTGGTAGCCACTTCAGAGACAACAAGACGTTTCTTCATGCGTTCGTATCGAATCTATTACATCCGCAATGACCTTTACATACACAACTGATAAACATCAGTATCCAAAACGTTTCATCGTATGGCTGTATCGAATACGTCCTCTATATCCTGTTAACACACATTTGTGCTTAGCCACTCTCTCCGGGATTAATGGGACAGCCGCGTCTTGTACGAGACAAGAAAGTAAAATATGTATAACTACATAAAAAGTAAACTTTACCTGACAACAGTACAGCTGCCATTTACTTATGAGAACGTCCTGAAGTCCAAACGTCCTCGCATCGGCACCCACACACTCACTCACTCACTCACTCACTCACTCGCCCACCCACCCACATCCTCACCCACACAAACAAACACACAAACACACACCCACAGATACTGGAGGTGCCTCGTTTAATGGTCAATGAGACGTACTTTGCCATGTTTCCGCCTGAAAGAGGGGTAGAAATGGGCCTAGTAGGACAGCGTCTGCGCGCGTCTGAGGGACTCGTGGCCAAGCATCCCGTGATTATCATCCCTGGGTTTGTATCGAGCGGACTGCAGCTGTGGCAGGCACATCCAGGTAGGACGTTGGTCCTACTATCTGATGTACTATATATGTTTTCTATATATGTATATATATATATATATATTGTATAACTATTTAAGACTGTATTGTGAATATTCTAATGCCATGTATGTCTGAATGTGTATATTCTATAACCATTTCTGTCCATAAATGTATATCGAATCGTCTGTAGCTGTGTCACGCGCACCCAGGTTAGCCGGTGGTCTTGTCCGATGTACTATACAATGTATGTAAAATATTGTTTTATTATTTACATCTATGTGTATCTTCTAATTCCTTATCTCCATGTGTGTACATGCTATTAATATGTATATACATGAGTATTCTGGTATGTTATTCTTCTAGCAAATTCATTATGCTCATATATATATATATATATATATACTATGCGAAAAGAATATGTATATATATATATTATACCATGTATATATATATATATATATATATATGTGTGTGTGTGTGTGTGTGTGTGTGTGTGTGTGTGTGTGTACGTATATATTATATATATATATATATTATATATTATATATATATATATATATATATATAGTATNTAT